CGCTGGCCCAGTTAGACAAACCGGTCAACAGAAATCAGTTAATCCAGCCAAGGAGCTACTCGCGTGGGAGCCGAGAAAAGACTGACGTTGTTCACGAGGCCAACAAACAACATGGAGGCAGAACTGCTTTTGGAGAGGAATATTTCCTTGTCTGCTGTAATAATCAGTGCCTCGTAGTAAACCTGTTAATAAGCTGCGGATACAACGGACATCACAAACCAGAGACGTTCTGCTTATGCAACCTGCTAAAGGTGATGATATCACCACAGCTTACTGATTTAGTTGTTTATCTTCACAAGATATTCGTTTCTGCCTGGCGTAAAGTTAAATCAGTCGAGCGGCGACTTTAAAGAGCGAATAAATTAAAATTCTCACTTGTTTTTTTTATTTTTGTAGGCCATGCTTGTAAAAGTGCTGATAAAGTGGGCATCACTTACATCAGTATGTTTTCTATCTCACGCAGAATTCCTGATATCGTAATTAACAACATGGAGAACATTTCCTGGTTATCCCAAGGTATAAAGTACGTGAAGGCGAACTGCGGCCCTGAGGCACTCGCATCAGACAGTATAGTCGTAGCTCTCGGTTATTCTGATACAACCACACCAAAGCACCATGATCGCAAGTCATCGACTCAATAGCCTTTTTTTGACTGGCTGCACCGAAACAACTTGTGGATGACTTCTTGCTAAATGGAATTAATGGTGAAGAAAACTTTGTTCTCTCCGCCGTTGCAGGTCCCAAGTCCGGTTGAGAAAGGAGGAGGGTTGGAAACCGTGGCGAAGTCTCCGTAAAATTTCGCCACCTGCTTTTCATAGCAATGACGTCATCGAAAATTATACCAGTTTGGTCTCGCCCGGGTAACCAAGGGCCGCGTAGGCTATTGAGGTACTGACGCAGACTACGAAAAGTCAGCGATCAGAACCTGCTCATCGCCCTCTTCCAGCGGAGACAGCAGCACAACAGCGGCTGACGAAGAGGAAGATACCAGTCAGGAAAGGAGGCACTACCCGTTCTGAACGGAGGAAGCAGACTGCGCGATGCCAGTAAAGCAGTCAGAAAGGCTCGACCAGAACGACACCGCCAGTGGCAGCTTAAAATCGGAAACTGGAATAATATCCCCACTCAAAGGGAATGAACACGAGTAAGCTGATGAGGCCATAAAGTACCAATTCGAAATTGTTGAACTCTCTTCAACGAAGCGCCAACGCTCTGGAATCCTCAACCTCTGCGGGTGCAAGCTATTTTACTCAAATGTCGATATCACGACGCGCGCTCAGGCCGGTGTTGGTGTTGCTGAAACCCTGACTTTGGTACAGGTGTATGCGCCAGATTTAGGGGGAGAACATGACTCCTTCCTTGAGGAAGTGCAGTGTTCTGTACGAAATGCCGAATATGCAGTTCCTTATGAGCGGTTTTAATGCCCATGTCGGAGAAGACGCAAGAAAGTGGAAAGTCGTGATTAGAGAAAAACGTCCCTAACGACCTCAACAATAACGGCATGAAGTTTTTATGCAAACAACGGACTGTCCATCATGAACACCTTCGAGCATCGAAGAGTGCATCAGTGTATCTGGTACCGGGAAGCTTGCGTACAGAAGTCGATGATCGATTTGATAATCACATCGTCTCACTTAAGACGGTCAGTAATGCATGTTTACATTAAGAGCGGCGCAGAGTTATAAATCGATTATGACTTTGTTGTGGGCACGCTACGCCGTAAAAAATGGAGTACCATGCGAAGAACTGGTGGCAGAAGCAACCGGAGAATCAAATGGGAATCATTATCTTCGATGGACACGAGAGCGAAATTTCCAAACAACGCAAGACGGTTTGAAAAGATCCCCATGATGACAGGTGATGTGGAAACCGAGGGGCAGCTCTTTAAAAACGGCATAATCACTCGAGGCTGCCGCCGAATGCTGCGGATTTAAGTCCTGCCGCCTGAAGGTCAGAAAAGATCTTCATGGTGGACACGAGAGGTACAACTGGCAGTTAAAGAGAAGGCAGCGTTCAAAAAATGGCTTGGAAACAAAGAGCCTTCTACTCGCGTGCGATATGTCGAAGCACGCAAGGCGACACCGAATGCAGGGGCGAAAGCCAACGGTGATTCCTGGGAGAAGTTCGGTGAGATGTTGGAGTCAAATTTTCACATGGCAAACAAGGTATTTTGGCAGACTATTCGCCTGCTCCGAGGTGAAAAGAAGGACATTCTCAGTCTTGAAGGACGGGTCTGGACATCCTCTCACAAAGGATGGTGACATTCTTCGGCGATGGAGAGAGTATTTTGAGGAACTCGTTAACCCCGAGCATCCGCATGAAGACTCGCCTGTAAAGCAGTAGGAAACCGATATTGCTATCTGTGCAGCTGAAATTACGGAAGCTCGAAAAGATTGAAAAATGGAAATACTGCTGGAATTGATGTAATCTGTTCTGAGATGCTGAACGCATTAGGCAAATAAGGCATGTGCTGGCTTGCACATGCTGTGAAACTGCGATGAGTAGGGGGAAGACACTGGCGGACTGGAGAACGGGAGTTGTTCTACCCTATTCAAATGGAGATACCAGGAGTACTCCAATTATCGGGGTATTACTTTATTGAGCCTCGCAGGTAAAGTATACGCAAAGGTGCTTTAAAGCAGGCGCCGCGGAATAACTTACTCCAAGATACAAGGGCACTGTGGCCTCCGGCCGAATCGAAGCACCTGTGACCATATATCTGCCCTTTGCGAGACTGTTCAGAAATCGTTCGAGTTGGCCAATCCGGCGTCCGCATACATCTGCTTTGTTGACCTAGAAAAAGCCTATGATCGGATCCCGCGCAACAGTCTGTAATCATGCCTGCGAGTATACGGAATAGACAGTCAACGGGCCATCCAATCACTGCATTCTGATAGGAGGTGCTGCGTCAGAGTAAGTGGCGTTAAGTCGAAACTTTTCAACGTTGGCACTGGTCTCCACGAAGGCTGTGTCCTGTCCCCACTCCTGTATGCATTGTACATGGATAGAATAGTCAGGATCAGCCAAGGCGATTAGTGTATCGGTGTAGGAGACGTGGAGATGAGAAGGTTGCTGTTTGCAGACGACCTCGTTTTATTTACATCTTCTGAAACTCATCTACAGTGCTCCCTAGAAAAATTCGCAGGTAAGTGCAAAGTAACCGGCATGCGTGCGAACACATCTAAAACGAAAAGCCTAATGCTTTCTCGTTCTGCCCGTTGCTTTCTTGAGATTAACGGAGAGGCGGTGGAGCACGTGGAGAAGTTCAAGTAGCACGAATTCGCATTCACCAGTGATTAAAAGTCTGAGGAAGAGATCGACCGGCGAATTGGAGTAGCCAGTGGAGTTCTGCATGAACTAGCCTGAACCACTATGACTAAAGTAGGGTTGGGTCTGAAAAGTAAGCTCTCGGTTTTCAACTCGATCTTTATCCCCATGCTTACATGCCGTCATGAGTTGTGGACAGTGACAGTGT